ACTGGGAACCCCCTCCTCCCTCTGGCAAGCTCCCAGGGCCGCGAATCACCTCCGATGCGGTTGCGCTCCAGCGATCCCGCCTGGGGCACGTTGCCTCCCCCGGAGTGCAGCAAACTGTCGGCCCGCTCCCAGCCAGGGTCGCTCCTCCGCAGGTCAGGGTTACTGTGAGGGGGGGGGACAAGGCCAGCCGCTGGTCTCACTTGGGGGCTCCCCACCCAGCTCACCTGGCAGGTGCCCTCTTCCCCGCCCCTCCCCCCCTCCCCTGGGCTCTTTCTGCCCCAGAAGCCTCCCCAGGTAGCACCAGCAGCAATAGCACAGGACCCATCACCGGAGAGAGCAAGAGGAACCCCCTGCAGCGAGAAAACAACCAGCTGGCCAGCACACCACCGCCACGACAGCCTCCGAGCGACGAGGACCCTCGTGGCGCTGTGGCTCCATTACCTACTGGCGTTTGGCACGGTGGCCGGTGGGTCCCGGGACGGGGTCCGGCCCGCAGGCTGGGGAGGAGGAGGAGGGGCTGGCAAGGGGTCCCCCCAGTTGGGCCCCTGCTCCAGCCGGCTCTGCATGTGGATATGCCACGCAGACTTGCTACGAGGTCTGTGGAAGGGAGCAGAAGCACGTCAAGGGGTGGCAAGGGGCTGTGGTGGATCAGGCCGCAACGTAACTGGGACAGATCTGGGAATCAGGCCAGGCTTAGTCGAGGACAGGGACTGTGGGGGGGGGGGGGGGNGAGAAGATGGAGGCCTCCCAGCCCCGCCATGCAGTACAGAGGTGAGGCCAGCGAGATGCTGTCGCCCCCCCAGCCCACACGCCATAGGGTTCTTCCTGCTGGGCACCTCTGCTCCCTCTCTTTCTGCTGCTGCTCTCCTGCTGAACCCCAGAAGCACCCCGAGCGCCTCCGTTGTGCCTGGCATGGAGAGGAGCGGCCTGCCTTCCCTCTTGATCTCCTGCCCTCTGTCCTGGGCACCTAAAGCTGCCCCCAAGGCCTCCCTGGTTGAGAGAGGGATGCCAGGGCATGCCAGCCACAGGACCTTTTGGGAACCTGAAGGCAGCGGGAGGCAGAGGCGGCTCCTTGACTTTAGCAAGACATCCCAGAGCTAATGATGGCCGAAGACGAACGGGGGGTGGGGCAGGGGGGGAGTGCTCCACACCCCCTGCTGCCGACCGACTGTAGTCCCAACGCGTTACACCCAACTCCACCTGAGGTGGTGGGACAAGTGCCAACTGCCGGCTTGACTCCATGGGGTGTGACCTCTGACACTCAGACGCCACACTGTCCCCTGCCCAGCTGAGCGCCTGGGAAAGCCCCTCAGCAACTCTGATCTCCTTGTAAGCAGCCCTGGATCTTCTCTGGCATGTTCTGGGGGTCCTTTCAAACTTGACTCCAACGGCTGAGGAGGAGCCTTCCACACACACACACCCCACAACTGTGTCTGGGGGGGGGAGGCTTCCAGGAAGGGCAAGGGAAGAAAGCCCCTTGGCAGGTCCCCAGGGCAGAGTCTCCCAGCTTGTGGGGCCCACAAAGCTTCCACTCAGGTGGGGCGAGGACCCACCGTGGCCCCGCAGCGCGACAGCCTGTCCGTTTCACTGGCTTGAGCGGAAAAGGAAAGCCCCCGCAGAAGGCCTCCTCGGTGTGGTTCAGGGGAGGGCGTGTGGGACCCTTGTGTAAAAGAAGGGGTCCCCACCGGAAGGGCCTTCCCCCACCCCTCCACCTGGGAAGGGGAACCGTTCTGTCCATGGGGCTGGTGTCCCCTTTGAATGGGGCAGGCTGCCCCTCCTGCAAGGCCACTGACCAGGAGGGGGTCCTCCCAACCAGCAGCCACCGAGGACTGGACTCCGGGGTCCAGCGCACAAAGCTTTTCTCCCGAAAAACCCCGCAGGAAGGCTGAGCCGCTCTCACTTGGAAGAACTCTCGCCACGGCCCCGTTTCCAAGGAGGCCGACCCGCACGGTAAGAGAGGGTCCTCCGCACCTGGACCCTGCCACGGAGGCAGGCGCCGCTTACCTGGCACGGACCGCATGGGCAGGTCTGATGCCGCCTCCGCTGCTGCTGGCTGCCCCGCTGGTGTTAAGCGCGGTTGCGATGGAAGACGTCCGCTGGGGAACCTGGAAGAGGAAAGAGAAAGAGAGAAAGAAGCTGCTCAGAGCCTGTCCCTTGCAGGAGCTGCTCCCTTGGCCACCGAGGCAACTCGGGGAAAGCTCCTGCAGGACCCAGTGGGTGGCTTGCCCGGGCACACCTCTGATCAGGCGGGCAGGGGCAGCACCCGGCCAGAACCCAGGAGAGACGGCACACCCTTGTTTATCCTGGGGGAGGGATTCATAGGGCCCCCGGCCACAGGCCCTCGCAGAAGCCCTGGGAAAAAGAGGTCTCCGCCTGGCAAGCCCCTCTGGAGCCCGGACGGGGGATGCCTGTTAGGCTTAAGGATGTGCCGACCAAGGAGTGGGAAGGGGGGGGGGGGCAGAGAGGGGAGGGGAGCGGCGGCAAGAGCATCCCTGGGTTCTCCCTCCCTTGCAACCTGGATTTCGGCTTTGGGGAGGGCGGTTGCCCCCTACCCAGGAGGCGGTGTGTCCTGGCGGA